TTTGAGGGACAATTTTGCCAGGTATATAATTCTTGGTTGTAAATTTTTCCCTTTCAAGGTTTTATATATACCATCCCATTGCCTTCTCATCAGCATGGTTTCTGCTGAGAAATCAGAGCTTATTCTTACTGGCTGTCTTTTCTAAGTAAATTTTGGTTTTTCCTGTGCTGCTTTCAGAATTCTGTCTTTGTTTTTGGTTTTGATGACTTTGATGATGATATGTCTTGGTGATTTTCTTTTGGTGTCCATCTTGTTTGGGGTTCATTGGAATTCCTGAATGGATATATTCTCATCTTTCATCATATCAGGGAAGTTCTCCTCCAACAGATCTTGGACAATTTTCTCAGTGGTTTTGTTTTTCCCTTCCTGTTCTGGAATTTCAATGACATGTAGGTTATTTCTTTTGATGGTATCCCACATGAACCTTAGGCTTTCTTCATTTTGTTTTGATTTTTTTTTCAATTTTGATCTGTTTCCAAAGAAGTATTCAGGTATTTGTCTTCCATCTCATTATTTCTGTCTTCCATTGCATCAATTCTTCTCCTTTGCCCTTTCAATATGTTATGTATTTCTGACAATTTAGTATTAAGCTTCTGGATTTCTATCTGTAGATTTAGAATCATTTCTAATTTTTCATTTATTTTGTTATTTTGTTCTTGTATTTTCTTCCGAAATTCTTCTAGGGTTTTGTCTGTTTTCCTTGATCTGCCTCTTAATTTGTTGAAGATGCCCACATATAATTCTTTTGAATTCCTTATCAGGGAGTTCCAGTGTTGCTTCTTCCTCAGGGATGTGCTCCCTTGTTTCTACCACTTTATCTTGCTTCTTTGTGTGGACTGTGATTGTCTGTTGTCTCTGAGACATTGTGACATTGTTGTATTTAGATCTCTGCTAACTGTTTGTGAAGAGCAGCTAAGGATGAGTCAATCTCTTCTTGGTGGATGTTTTATCATTGGCCTTTCCAGTCATCTGTGTCCAGGATGTCCTTGTGGTTCCCGGCAAGTGGAGCCTGTTCTTAAGTCCCTGGAATCTGGGAGAATGCTGTTACTTTAAACATCCAAAATGGTCAAACTGCTTGTAAACATTCAAAACGGCTGCACCCTCCGGACAGGCAAAAGTCCACAGCTCAGCCTGCCTTCCTCTTTGCTGCTTCCCCTTTTATTCACCAGCTACCAGAGTAGTCCTCCGCGCAGTCCCTGGCTAGCAGTGCTGATTTTTAGGTTAATTCTTAGGTCCTACCACCACTTAGCAATATCCAAGCTGTCTATGCTGTCAGGATCACTGCCGGAACCACAGCTCTGGATGTCTCCTTTTTCAGTGTTTTCATGCAAATTCTTTTGCTAGTTGGAGTTTAGTCTACTTCTATATCTTTCCTTTCATAACTCAGGGGTCCAGGATTATTATCTGTGTTAATTGGTTTCCCTTTTCTTTGTTGAAGAGGGTCTGTGCAGTCTTTCTGACTATTTCTCCATCTTACTGGAACTCCAGATGACTGTACCCAAAGAACTATGACTGTTATTTTTAATTAGAGACTCACTACATATTTTAATTAGAGACTATATATATATATATATATATATATATATATATATGTATGTATATGTATATGTATATACACACACACACATATATATACTTATGTCATCAAAAGACATTAATTGCTATTACTATAACATGTCTAAGCTCTATTGGCCCAGGGCTCTCAGTGATTACTATGATTACTATGATAACTATGAATATGCTGCTGAAGACTCCTCACATTGAAGAGCTATTAATTTTGTACATAATAAGAGGTAAGGCAATAATAAGCTTTCACCTTGCACCAGTAATATAGGGAAGGCTTCATGTAACTGTGTGTCTTTGTGTGTAAGCACCTCCCAGCAGAATGTACTCTTGGAGGACAAGATCCAAGATAAGGTTATGGGAGCTCATAATCATATTTAGTTACCAAAGGGTGTAGGATGGGGGTAGGGTGCTTTCTGAGATTTAGGCTTGTGTCTCAATTCTCTCCACATGAACCCAATCCAGTCCAGAACACAAAAAGAGTAAACGGTATTGTTTTCACCTAGTGTTTTATGTAGAACCTTCAGCAATAAACAAATGTTCAAGCCAATTCAGTGGGAATGGGCAGGATCAGAGAAAGGAAGAAAAACTGAGCAGATACTCTAAAATATAAGGCGCAAAATCAGAGATATCTTTGGAAGCTAGCAAGCAGTTTGGTGTGGCTGGGGCACAGTATACTGGAAGCCAATCTGAGCATCATATTACTGAAAAAGGCAACTTCAAACTGAAGTACGCACCCTTTTAACCTTCTGCCACTATGGAAACGCCCTTAAATGAGTAATAAATTGGAGTTTTCATATACTTGTTATTACAACCTGTGAATTCATCAGTCACTGTCTTTAACCAATGTGGTTATTCATTTCAGAAATAGTTCATTCAATGAGAAAATGTGCTTCTAGTAAAACGTCTTTATTTGGCAGTCAGAGTTAGTCCAGAAAGAGCCTTGGATTCAGAGGCCGCATGCTAGAAACATCACACTTCTAACAAGTAAATTAAATTTAAAAGCAAATATCAAAAATATAAGGTAAACAGAAATTGGTTAAGATGTAGAAAATTAGATTAACAAATACTAAACACAGAAGAATCTTGTAACATTTATCACTGTGTTTAAGAAAAATGTACTAGCTACTTCTGTGAGTTTGACAGGGCCTTGAGTGGTGCAAATGACTACTAAGCACTGGACTATTAACTAAAAGGTTGGTGGTTCAAACCCACTCAGAGGCACCTTGGAAGTAAGGCCTGTCAATCTGCTTCCAAAAGGTCACAGCCTTGGAAACCCTATGGAGCAGTTCTACTGTGCATACATGGGGTTGCCATGAGTTGGAATCAACTCGATAGCAAGTAACAATGAGATTGACACAATCCTTAAAGCTTTCTAATAATCTTGTTCAGTCCTCAAAACCCCCCCCCAAAAATTGGAATTATCTCCATTTTACAAATTAGGAAAGTGAAGTTAGTTGGACTATTTCAAATGAGGCTATAAAGGGAGACAATGAACCAGTAGGTCTATGGTGGGAGTTCCTTGCAAAGGAACTAATTATGTTTGGAGAGAATGTGTGTGCCTGATAAAATAATTAAAAAATAAATTGCTCTCTTAGGAAATGTAAATTACTGAGTGTTAAAGTAACCCTGTTGATCACATAGATAATAAATATATGTGTTTTCTCAAGTCTGGTAGGTGACACTGATTGATTTCCAATTCTGGCTACAACAGGGCTGGAGCACCTTTTGAAACAAAGGTGATGGAACCTCAGGCACAGTGGGGACAGTTGAAAGCCTTGCACCATGCTGATGATGCCTTCTTGGACTTTTCATGACTGTGAAGAGAAGATGCTGAGGAACCAGACTTGACCTATTGCTTCCCTTGGAACTCCTAGCCCCTGCTGGAATAGGAAGGGGAGGGGTGGCACTATTAGCCTCTCTCCACTCAATAACTACTATAACACCCTTTCCTACTACTCAATGTTGGCTGTTGTTGTTGTTGTTATGTGCCGTCGAGTCAGCCCTGACTCATAGCGACCCCTCCTTGGGTTTCCGAGGCAGTATCACTACGGAAGTAGGATTGCCCAACCTTGCTTCCGAGGAGTGGCTGGTGGGTTTGAACCGCCAGCCTTTTGGTTAGCAGTCAAGTGTCTTAGCCACTATGCTACCAGAGTGTTGGCAGGTCAACAAAAATAATGCATTAACTAAAAACCGGGATGGACCTCTTCCATGGTTAAAGCATTCAGCTACTAACCAAAATGTCAGCAGTTCAAACACCCCAGCCATTCCGTGAGAGAAAGATGAGGCAGTCTGCTTCCATACAGATTTATAACCTTGGAAACCCTATGGGGCAGTTTTACTCTGTCCTACAAGGTTGCTATGAGTCAGAATTAATTCGATAGCAACGGGTTAAGGACCAAGACGGTGCCCTGGATGGTGCAAATGGTTAACACACTTGGCTGCTAACTTTAACATTGGAGGTTCTAATCCACCCAGAGGTGCCTCAGAAGAAGTTTCTTCTGAAAACTCAGCCATTGAGAGCCCTATGGAGCACAGGTCTACTCTGACGCACATGGGGTCAGCACGAGTTGACATCTACTCGATGGCAATTGGTACTTAAAGAAACAGGAATCAGCCCTTTTGGTTGGGGGTGGTGGAAGGCAAAGGGAAGATATGAGGTCTTGGGAGGCCAGCTAGAGCACTTAGAATGAAATTAAAAAAAAAAAAAAAAAAGTTTCCCTCAGCACTGATTTAATAAGTCTTAGAAAGCACCAAAAACTCAGGCTACAAAAATGTTTTTATCATTTTATGAAAGAACCAATGTTGATTAAGCCCCTACTGTGCAGAGCTCAATCTTGAGTAGGCATTTATAGATGGGATGGGGGAAGAAAATGGAATTCTGCCTTCAAGGAAGTTGCATTCTTGTTGAGGAAGCAGAATTTATGCTAATGGAAGCATTTTCCTTGCTGATAACAACTCTTTTCCTATACCTCTTAGCTAGAGGAAAAAGATTACCTAGGGCCTGTGTGACTGGACCACTCAGAGAGTTTCCAGGGGAAACAGTGATACAAGAAAGGAACAGAAAGGAGCCCATCCAAGGCTTTACCTATCAAAGCTCATTTAATCTTCATACCACTATGTGAAGGAAGTACCTCACCTCTTCCAGATGAGAAACATGAACCTCCATGAGGTGTGGCAAAATAATACTAGATAATGTTACTATCTAGCTCATGGTGGGGGATAAGGGAGGCCAAGGGGTAGATGAGCTCATACACAAAGACACAATTAACAGGATCTTACACCTGTAAATGCTCATGAATGTTCCCTCTGGCTCTTAGGTAACTTGCCCAAAGCCACAGACATAATGAAGAACAGAATGAGATTCATCCACACTCTGGTCACTCCAATCCAGATGTCCACACTCTTTCCATCAGGCCCCAGGTTTCTACCAAGATTTAATTGACTTCCTCTTCCTCTTCCTCTTCTTTTCTCTCTGCGGCCCCTTTCAAGTCCACCCAGAGAGCCTTTTTGTTAAGTGCATTTAAACTCAGTATTGATAACTTCCTGGTCTTCCAGTATAAGCACAGGAAGGAAATAAGCAGAAGAGTGAACATAACAAAGGGGCAGATGAACAGGAAGTAGAGTAAAGGTGCTGATGAGCAGATCCTGGAAGGAAATGTGGGCTCTGCAACAAAAAAAGAAAAAAAAAAAAAAAAAAAGACCAAAAAGAATGAGTTTCCAATTTATTTGTACCAATCAATTATAAACATTCTGGGATTTATTGCTATAAGCCAATACATGTTTTGTTTGTTTGTTTGTTTAAAAGAGTAGGGTCGAATAGCAGTAAGCTCCTTAAATTACATAAAGGCAGCAAAGGAAACAGTGCTGGGGGAAATTTTATTCATACCAGCAATGATGCTCTCCTACTGTACCCTCCCCCACGCCCAGCAATTTCCAACCACTGGAGGTTCCAATGACCTACTTAAAACTTACAGCCAGGAAGAAAAACAAAACAAAACAAAAAATCCTCTCCTTTAATCTTCTTTCCTCAGAAAAGATATCTATAATTCAACCCTTGTTCTCAACCATGTTGCCGGTCCTGAATTTTTAACTGAGTTATTCCCACTGCTGCTTCTAAAAAAGGAAGAAAGTTAAAAAAAAAAAAAAAAAACAAAAAACAGAAAAGCCAAAAGCCCACTGTACTGTCCTTATAATACAATTTCATCTAAAGTGGGACACCTTCCCACCCTTCCCAAGCCTTCCTGTCCAAATCTATTCCCCGGGCACCCTTCATTCTGCTTTTCTTTATTGGTCTTATGAGGCCACCACCCTAATCCTCAGGGGCCTTTTGGTCTAGCTCAGATCATGCTTCCTCCTCCCTCACCTCGGGCCCATTTCTTCTCTTTACTTCCTTCTCAATTGGGTCTTTATTTAGATCTCTTTCCTTCTGTTTAGCCTTTGCCTTTGCTTCAGTATAGTTACTTGCCTATGTCTGATAGTGCCATTGGTTTCTCTGTTTCCTACAGTGCCTAGCACATGTGTTCCATAACTTCTGCTGATCTGAATTACATTGGATTGACTGCAGCCATATGCACAGGAGATGCTGAATAAAGGCATGCTGAGGCACAGGATCCTCCAGCAGCTGCTGTCCATTGGGAAGCACTATCAGCAGACAGACATGAGGAGCTCGTCCAAGGAACCCGGACATGGTTCCTGGCCACACGACCAGGAGAGTAAAGGTGAAAGACTACACCACAGGCTCCAGGAAATAGTGCCTTGAGCTACAGGATTGGGGTTAAAATCTCTTGATGCAGAAAGATGTGCACATAAAAGGACACTAATAATTACATGCATAGTGGCTAAGACACTTGCCTGCTAACCAGACGGCTGGAGGTTCAAACCCACCAGCCACTCCTCGGAAGGAAGGTTGGGCAATCCTACTTCCGTAGTGATACTGCCTCGGAAACCCAAGGAGAGGTCGCTTGAGTCGGGGCCGACTCGACGGCACATAACAACAACAACAACAACAACAGTCTTCTAACTGTATTTATTGATGGCAGAATATTTACAGTCAAAGTTGTTCTGAAAACTCTGATGCTAATAGTAAAAACCGCTTAATACAAAGTCAGTTCCAACTCTGATGCCTCATGTGTGTCAGAGTAAAACTGCTCCATAGGATTTCCAAGGACTCATTTTTCCAAAGTAGATCACCAGAACTTTCTTCTGAGGCACCTCTGGGTGGACTCAGATTTCCACCCTTTCGGTTAGCAGCTGAGCACTTAACCGTTTGTACCACCCAAATCAGTTCCATTGAGTTAATTACAACTCATGGCAACCCCATGTGTGTCAGAGTAGAACAATGCTCCATAGAGTTTTCTTCCTTTTCTGGCAGGGCCAGCTTCATGGGTATGCTTGGGGTTTAATGCTCTGTAGTTGTCATCTTGAAATTTTTACTAGTTTTATCTTTTTATTTATTTATTTTTAGCTTTTTATTGTGACTTGGATGAAAGTTTACAGAGCAAATAATCCCTACACATTTTGTTTTGTGATACTGATTTCCATAGGATTTTCAGTGGTTGATTTTTTTGGAAGCAGATCACCAGGTCTTTAATCTTAGGTCCCTCTGGGTATACTTGAAACTCTAACTTTTTGGTTATCAGCTGAGTGGGTTAACTGTTTGTACCACCAAAGGACATGCTAATAATTGTTGCTGTTGTTGTTGGGTGCCGTTGAGTCCATCCCAACTCATAGCAACCCTGTACCACAGAACAAAATACTGCCCTGGCTTGTGCCATCCTCAGTCTTTGCTATGCTTGAGTCTATCATTGCAGCCACTGTGTCAGTCCATCTTGCTGAGGGCCTTTCCTTTTCTTCGCTTACCCTCTGCTTCACTAAGCATGATATCCTTTTCCAAGGATCAGTACCTTCTGACAACATGACTTAAGTATGTGAGATAAAGTCTGGCCATTCTTGCTTCTAAGGAACATCCTGGCTGTACTTCTTCCAGGACAGACTTGTTCATTCTTCTGGCAGTCCATGGTGTTTTCAGTATTCACCAACATCACAATTCAGAGGCATCAACTCTTCTTTATTCTTTCCCATTCATTGTCCAGCTTTCACAGCTTTTCCATTGAAAAGACCATGACTTGAGTCAGGTGTACTGCAGTCTTCAAAGTGACATCTTTGCTCTTTAACACTTTATAGAGGTCTTTTCCAGATTTTCCCAGTATAATATGTCATCTGACCTCTTGAATGCTGCTTCCTTGGGTATTTATTGTGGATCTAAGTAAAATGAAATCCCTAACAACTTCAATCTTTTCTCCATTTATTGTGATGTTGCTTATTGGTCCAGTTGTGAGGAATTTTGTTTTCTTTATGTTGAGGTGTAATCCATACAGAGGGCTGGAGTCTTTGATCTTCATCGGTAAGTACTTCAAGTCATCTTCATTTTCAGGAAGCAAGGTTGTGCCACCTGCATATTACAGGTTGTTTATGGGTCTTCCTCTAATCCTGATGCCGTGTTCTTTTTTTATATTGTCTAGCTTCTCAGGTTATTTGCTAAACATACACATTGAATAAGTATGGTGAAAAGATACAACCTGACACACACCAATAATAGCTGTAGTGTTATTGGGAAATTATAGAGATATATGGAATTTCTTCTAAAAGGTTAAACTATGGGATTTATAGGATTATAGACTTTTAAGAGATGAAAACAGGGTTAGAAGTCATTTTAGCCAGGCTTTTGCCACAAGCAAGAATTCTACTTTTAGCATTGTTGATGCACATCACACCTTGAAAAACATCTTTTTGTGGAATTCAAGCAAGAATATGGACATTTGTCCAGCTCCTGCATTTGTGAGCTCCTTGAGGGAGGGCCTGTGTCTTATCTATCTTTTTATTTTGTGCAGCACTTTGCGCATAGGTCCTTAATGGAGACTAATAAATGAAAGAACTGCATGAGTGAATTCCACACACTGGAACCCAAAGGTAGCTTCCATTGTGTTATAGAAAATAAAGATCATCACTGAACATTAGCCTGGCAGCTCTAATAAGGGCTGGCAAAGAACTCTAGGAGTTTATTGTCTAGATTTTCTCTGGTCTCATTAGTGTTCTCCATCCTCAATTTGGTTTTTGTTTTTGAAAGGATGAACAATGAAAAGGCTATGTTTCCGTATTCTTTATCATCCACTTTCTACATCCTACCTAAATTGTCCCCTAAATGTCCTCACTTGACTACCACAGTTCTCCCAGGTCTTATCTGAATACTTTTGAAGGCATGTAGTTAAGAACCAACCAGTGGCCACTGAGTTGTTGACTCTGATTCATGGCAAGCCCATGTATGTCAGAGTAGAACTGTGCTCCATAGGGTTTCAATAGGTGATTTTTCAGTAAATCACCAAGCCTTTCTTTAGAAGTATCTGGGTGGACTCAAACCTCTAACTTTTTGGTTAGCAGCTAAACATGTTAACCATTTGCACCACCAAGGGAGACTTTAATGCTGGAAGAGAATGGACCCATAAAACCCACTGCCTTCAAGTCGGATCCAACTCATAACGACCCCTCCTTGGGTTTCCAAGGCGGTATCACTACAGAAGTAGATTGTCCAACCATTAAGAGCACTGGCCCTAAGATGCAATTATTAGTTTCTCCCCATCCAGAACAAAGAGGAGTGATGAAGACCAAAGATGCAAGGAAACAATTAGTCCAAAGAACTAAACTAATGGACTGTGTGAATTGAACCTTGGCCTCCATCACTGAGACCAGGAGAACTAGACAGTGCCTGGCTACCACTGCAGATTGCTCTGAAAGGCATCACAATAGGAGTTCCTGGGTAGAGCGGTAGGAAAATGTGGAACAAAACTTTAAATAATAAAATAGACCAGGCTTACTGGTCTGATAAATACTATGGCCCTTAGACACCCTTCAGGCCTGGGGGTAGGGAGAGCACTTGTCCTGGGGTCACTTATGTAAAAAGTAATGAATGAGCATCTACTGCAACTCAGACAACTAAGTTCAAATCCTGGCTCCTCAATTTATTGCTAATGGCATTGGACAAGTTACTTATCCTGTGGAATTCTTAGTTTTCTCATTAATATAATATTGCTGTGTTGTTGTCATAACAACCCTGTTCTGGTTATCTAGTACTGCTTTGACAAGAATATACCACAAATGGGATGGCTTTAACAAACAGGAGTTTATCCTTACAATTCAGGAGGCTAGAAGTCCAAATTCAAAATGCCAGGCTCTAGGGGCTGTGTGAAAGCCCCTCAACCTTGGGCTACAGCTCTGCCTCTTGCTCCCAGCCCACTGAAGCTAGAGGCATCTCTTCACTCAGACAGCTACTGGCTACTGAGGCTAACAAGCCCAAGGTCGACAAACAAAATGGCACAGCCCCAATGTTACCAAACTACACGGCAGGCCATTAATTCAAGTCCATTGAAAGTCCCAAGGTTGGCATAGCATGGCAGACTGCTGAAAAATGACATGGCTACATGCAGGGTTCAAGTGTGCCATAGGCTAGAGACCATTCCCAAAGCAGGTGCTTATATATGGGAAGCAGACCATATACCCAAAGCAGCTACTCAGCTGCTCCAATAGATTCCACCATGGACTTCATTACTAATCTCACCATGGAGAATAACTATATTCAGCTGCCCAGCCACTCAACCAGACCTAGCCAAG